AGGCTGGAGAGATGGCTCAGTGCTTAAGAGTACTTCCTTCTTTTAAGAGTATCCAGGTGTGATTCCCAGCACCCATGTTGTAACTTAGAACTATCTATAACTCCAGTTTCAGGGAACCTGACACCCTCCTCTGACCTCCACCGGCAGCATTCATGCATAGACATACCTGTAAATAAAACAGTCATATACTGGCTGGGCGGTGGTGGTGCACTCAGGAGGCAGAAACCGGTGGATCTTTTTGAGTTCAAGGCCAGCCTGGTCTACAGAGTGAGTTCCAGGACAGCCAGACCTGCACAGGGAAACCCTGTCTCTAAGAAAACAAAAAAATGAAACAAAAAATTTTAAAAAACACACTCATAAATAGAAAATAAAAATAAAAAGCTTGTGACTCATGTCTTTAATCCTAGAATTCTTTTTTTTTAATATAATTTTTTATTGAAAAAAAAAGATTTCCGCCTCAATCCTAGAATTCTTAATCCTAGAATTTAGGAGGCAGACAGGCAGATCTCTGTGAGCTTGAGACCAGCCTTGTATTGAGTTCCAAGTCAAAGGAGGCTAATCATATGACTTGTCTCTAAACAGACATTATTCTGCTTATGAGAGAAATATCTATTGGTCTTTTGAATCTGGCTTATTTGGCTTATCTCACTTAACATAATGCTTTCCAATTGCATCTTTCCAGCAAGTGCCATGAGTTCATTGTTCTGTATGGCTGAATGAAATTCCATTGTGTATATCTGCCCCCCGTCTGTCTGTCTGTCTATCTATCTATCTATCTATCTATCTATCTATCTATCTATCTATCTACCTCTCCCTCTTTTAATTCATTCATTCTTTCTTTTGTTGCTATTGCTTTGTTTGTTTTTTGCTTCTTGAGGTAGGGTTTCAGCTCTGGCTGTCCTGGAACTAGCTCTGTAAACCAGGCTGGCCTTGAATACAGAGATCTGCTTGCCTCTGCCTCCCAAGAGCTGAGATGATAGTCATACACCACCACCTCCCGGCCATATTTTCTTTATTCATCTGTTGATGGGCATCCAGGTAGAGTCCACTCCCTCGCCATTGAACAGTGCAGTGGTAAACATGTATGTGCAAGTATGTCTGAGTGACCTATAGTATTTCAGTATATACTCAAGAGCGGTTTAGTGGAATTGTACAGTAGTTTTGTTTCGTTTTTTATTTTAATGATTTAGTTTTATTTAATGTGCATTGGTGCTTTGCCCGCATGTGTGTCTGTATGAGGTTGTCAGATCCCCTGGAACTGGAGTTACAGACAGTTGTGAGCTGACATGGATGCTGAGAACGAAACTGGGTCCTCTGGAAGAGCTCAGCAATCTGAAGCCGCCTCTCCAGGACATCATTTGCTTCTTGGATGATTGTCATTCTGACTGGGAAAAGAAAGACACTCAAAGAAGTTTTAATTTGTCTTTCTCTGGTACCTAAGAATGCTGAACACTTTTTTTGTTGTTGTTATTTGGTTTTTGTTTTTCCAGACAGGGTTTCTCTGTGTAACAGTTCTAGCTGTCCTGGAACTCCCTTTGTAGACCAGACTGGCCTCAAATTTACAGAGGTCTGCCTGCTTCTGCCTCTTAAATGCTGTGATTAAGATTAAAGGCACGTGCCACCACTGCCCAGCTTGTTGAACACTTTTTTTTGTTTTGTTTTGTTTTTTTGTTTTTCGAGACAGGGTTTCTCTGTAGCTTTGGAGCCTGTCTTGGAACTAGCTCTTATAGCCCAGGCTAGGCCCGAACTCACAGAGATCCGCCTGCCTCTGTCTCCCGAGAGCTGGGATTAAAGGCGTGCACCACCACCGCTCAGCTATGTTGAACACTTCTTTAAGCACTTATTTGCCAATGTGTTATTTTGTTTAAGAACTATTTGGTTAATTAATTTTTATTTATGTATATGCCATGTGTGCACTTGCCAAAAAGGGGTGTTGGATCTCCTGTAGCTAGAGTTATAGACAATTGTGAGTTCCCTGATATGGGTGCAGGGAGCTGAATTCTAATCATCTGGAAGAGCAAGAAGAGCTTTTAACCTCTGAGCCATCTCTCCAGACCCAGTAGCTCATTTATTGACTGGATGATTTGATATTTTGTATCTTAAAGTTTGCAGTTCTTTCTATGTGCTGGCTATTAATCTGTTGTTGGATGTGTCCTTGGCAAGTATGTTTCCCATTGTGTAGACTGTCTTTTCTCTCTCCTGATTGTTTCTTTTTTGCTGTCAAGTCTTGGATTTGTCTCCTGTGCTCTGGGAGAACTGTTCAGAACATCTTTGTCTGTGCCTGCATCTTGAAATATCTCCATCTCAGGCTTTCAAAGGTTCAGGCCTTACAATGTAATCTTTGAGCCAACTATAATTGTTTCTTTTTTAGAATGAGAGTCATTTTCCTTCTTTTTCTTTGCTTGTTTTGTTTTTCAAGACAGTTTCTCTGTGTAGCCCTGGCTGTCCTGAAACTCACTCTGTAGACTGGGCTGGCTTTAAACTCACAGAAATTCACCTGCCTCTGTCTCCCGAGTGCTGGAATTAAAGATGTGCACAACCATGCAAGGCTTAATTTTCTTCTTTAACGTGGAGAAGTCAAGGTTGTTCAGAATTATTTGTTAAAGGGGCTGTCTTTTCCCCCCAATATATGTTTTTGAAAGTTGTATCAAAATTTAGGTGCCTGTAACTGTGTGTGTTTACTGCTGGGCCCTCCATTCCACTCCATCGGTCTATGAGTCTGTTTGTTTCAGAGACTCTGTAGGAAAATTTAGGATCCAGTCCTGTGATACCTCCAGTGCTGCTAAGAATTCCTCTAGCTATTTGGGCTCTCTTGTGCTTCCATATGAGTTCTAGAATCACTGTTTCTAGGAGACTGTCACAGCATATTGCTGGGGACTGTGTTGAATCTATAGATTAGATTGCTTTTGGTATTGCGGTCATTTCCACCATGTTAATTCTGCCCACCAATGAACATGGGAAATCTTTCCAGCTTCTAGTGTCTTCTTCACCAAGATATTTTTCGGTTTTGGAGCTAAAGGAAATGGGATTTTTCACTGATTTTTTGGGTTTTTTTATTTTTTTATTTGAGATTGGATTTTTTTTATTTTAAAATTACATAAGGGGGCTGGAGAGATGGCTGGGGGCCTAGAGAAATGGTTCAGAGGTTAAGAGCATTGGCTGTTCTTCCAGAGGTCCTGAGTTCAATTTCCAGTAACCACATGGTGGCTCACAACCATCTGTAATGAGGTCTATTGTCCTCTTCTAGCCTGCAGGCATACATGCAGGCAGATCTTATAAATATAATAAATAAATAAATCTTCTTTAAAAATTACATATGCTGGGTGGTGCTAGCACAAGCCTTTAATTCCAGTACTTGGGAGGCAGAGACAGGCGGATCTCTGTGAGTTCAAGGCCAGCCTAGTCTACAAAGCAAGTTCCAGGACAGCTAGGACAGTTACACTGAGAAACCCCGTCTTGAAAAAAAAAATTACATACACTATTTATTTATTTATTGTATCTGCATCCCAAAGATTCTGATAACTTGCACCTTTATTTTCACTTAGTTTTAGAAACATTCCAATTTCTTCCCTGACTTGACCCACTGGCCACTTAAAGGTGCTATTCAGTCTCCATGTATTTGTGCAGTTTCTGTAGTTTTTCCTATTACTAATTGCTAATTAATTTCACCATACTCTGTAAGATACAATAGGCTATTTGATCCTTTTGTGTCTGGAAGTTTCCCTGGTGCACTGAGGCAAGTGTGTGCTCTGTTTCTGTTGGGTGGACTAGTCTGTCATTCTGTGAAACATTTGTGAAGTCCGTTTGCCTCTGTGGTAGAGCCCAACACTGAGGCTTCCTTGATAATCAGTGTGTGAGGTTTCTTATCAGTTTGTGAGGTTTCTTTGATTATCAGTTCGGATGCTCTTTCTAGAGATTAGAGTGGGATGATGGAACCACCCACTATTAAGAAATATATCTGGCCCTATCTGACCTGATATGCCCACTAGTGTTTGTCCTATGGAACCCAACATTTGCTTCGTTCATATTTACAATATCTTCTTGATGGCTGTTTCCCCTTACTAATATCCAGTAGCCTTCTGTGTAATTTCGTTTGGAAGCTTCTGTTATGGTATTAGCCATACCAGCTTGTGCTCAGGTTCATTTGATGGTTTGCCTCCCCCACTTAACTCTCATCCTTGGGCATCTTGAACAACACGTGTGCTTCTTAGAGAAAATACATGGCTGGAGCTAGTTCTTTAGTCCAGTTGGCTCGTCGCTTTCCTTACTGGTAAACTTTACCTGTGTACATTTAAGGTTGCTTTTGAGACATGTGTGCCAATGCCTTTCATTTGACCCTTTGTGATCAAAATTATTGTTTTGTGATCGGCTGGATTGTTGTTCTTTTCTTCCCTATTGATATCAGGGTATTGCTGGCTTGCTGGACTGGATTGGTGGGGTCCTTTGTTCTACCGTGAAATGCATTCTCCCTTGTGCTCTTGTAATTGGGGCTTGTTCTCTTCCTTCTCCGTGTATAGTGCTCCCTTAAGTGTGGGGGTAGCTCTGTTTTTAACTCCAGATCCTCAAGATGGCTGCATTCAGAGTCAGTAGCACAACAAAAGGAGATTTCATTCAGCTGCAGACCATCCGCCAGGGAAATGGGTTCTGTCACCAAACACTGCAAGCAGATTGGAGGCTCCCGAGCACGGTGGCCTTGTCCTAATGGTTGGCCTGCCACGCTTTTTATCTGCTTTATGTTTAGGAAATAGTTTTTTAGTACCCTCCTCCCCCAGCCAGGACCCCAGCAGCTGAACCTGTGTTAGGTATCTTCCTCTGTGGGGCATGTGTGTTTTCTGCCACCATGTCACTCCCTTTGCGGGTTTCTGAAGCTTTTTCTCTATTTCTGTCAATCTTTTTTTTTCTCTCCTTATTCTGACTCTTCTTCATCAGCTCTCAAAGGCAGTCCCCATTCTGCCATTATCTTATCAGATAAAAAACCATGACCAAAGCAACTTGGGGAGGACAGGGTTTATTTCAGATCACACTTCCAGGTGACAGTCTTTAGTCAGGGCTGGCAGCAACTCAAACAGGGCAGGAAGCTGGAGGCAGGAGCTGATGCAGAGACCATGGAGGGGTGCTGCTTACTGACTCGCTCATCACAGCTTGTCTAGCCTGCTTTCTCATAGAACCCAGGACCACACGCCCGGGGAAGGCCCCACCCACAATGGGCCGGGCCCTTCCCCAACAATTGCTAATTAAGAAAATGCCCTTCAGCTGGATCTGATGGAGAAGGCATTTTCTCAATTGAAGTTCCCTCCTTTCAAATGACTCTAGCTTATGTCAAGTTGACATAAAACTAGGCAGAATAGCCAACCATCTTACCCAGAAGTCCTTGAAAAATTCCTGGAAGGCAAGCCCGGGTGAATAGTACGGAAGCAACCCAGACCCTAAAAAGCCTTGCATGACAGCAAGGCTTCCGGGACCCTTAGGTCCTGGAGGGCAGAGCATAGGTAGATCTTGCCAACCACACCCAAAGCCCAGGTGGGAGATCCAGTGAGATCACCAAGGAAAGGATCCACAGGAGAGCGTCTGAAACAGGAGATGGACTGGGCCTGCAACGAGGCCCCTGTGGAAAGGGAGGGCACCAAAAACAGAGAGTAGTGTTGTACACCTTTAACCCCAGCACTAGAAAAGGCAGCGGCAGGTGGATCTCTATGAGTTTGAGGCTAGCCTGGTCTACCTAGCAAGTTCCAGGCCAGCCAGGGCAACACAGAGAAACCTTATCTCAAAAACAACAAAACAACACAAGAAAAAAAAAAAGAGAGAGAGAGCATAGGTCAGACTCTAGCTCCTAGCTGCTGGACCTGCAGTGGGAGGGTTTTCTGCAGGAGAAGCTGGTAGTCCTGGGGCTGGAACTATAGCATCCAAAGTGCCCTTTACCACTGAGTCAGCTCCCCGGCCCCTGCCATGAGTCTTGCTGCATACTGCCTTGCTCACCTCGAGCCAAGCTGGATCCTGTGCAGGGTCCAGCTCTTCCCGCCACTTTCTAAGACATCTGGCCAACCCCTGCCAGCCATTCAAGTTTATTCTGAACACTTTCCATGTAGATGCTAAGTAAAGAGGGTCCCAAAGGGACTCCAGGGTGGAGAAAGAGCTCCTTGCTCATTATCACCCTGTGCATATCCTGTGTTTGTGAGGAGGCCTTCCTGCAGCCTGAGGACATTCCAGGGTAGGCATTCTAAGAGGAAGAAGCTGCCTATGCCAAGCGCCTGGAGGGGTGAGGTCACAACTATGGCTGGCTCTTCCTGTCTATCCAGCTATGCCTTCCCACCCATTTGAGTCCTGTACAGGAGGACTTTGGGTAATGACATACCCATTCACAGTCTGGTGGGCGCGGAGTGCCTGCTTCCCATGTTTCAACCCACGGGTGCAATCCCGGCTTGGGCTCTCCAGCACAAAGGGATGTTAGAAATACCTTCTAGAGAACACCATTGTCCAGGTGGGTAGGAAATGGATTGGTTATCCAAAGGAGTAGGGACAGCACGTATGGACGGGAGAGCAGGTCAATGCCCCTGGACAACATAGCCTCAAGGACATAAGGGACATAAGCCAGGTCAGTTGTAAGGAATAGAGAGCGGAAGAAGAAACGGAGGTGACAGGCTACTGACATGACTAGCAGAGCCATGACAGGCACGACTAGGCATACTGAACCCTAGGAAGGGGGCATCAACTTCAGTGCCTCCATCAGACCCTTGCTTGGGAAGCAGATGCTATCCAGGACAGGTGCCAAGTCCAAGTTAGAGCAGAGGGCACACTCCAGGGAGCTGACAGAACTGGCCTGGCAGAGAATAAATAGATGGACCAAGACTACAGAGGGGACTTGAGATGGAACTGGAACGTGCCGTCGGCGACACAGTTGTCACACAGTGGGCCCATAGAAAGTAGTTACAGGGCAGTGAGCACCAGTGTCCAGCACCAGGCCCAGGGTGACGCTTGAATAGACTTCTGCGGATCTGCTGGAGCAGGGATTGGTAACAACATGGATAGTGTGTGCCTATGCATCTGGATACCAGGCCCGGTTCACCGAGGTTCAGGGCAGTTCCACTGGCTTGCACGGCTCCGGCGTAGGAATGGACTATCGTCATAGAGTGGATGGGGCCTTGCAGGGTATGAGTGCTGGCGGATGAAGCTTAAGAGGCTGGGGCGATGTGGTCGGACCTGCGCCCGAGCAAGCAACGCCACCTGCTGGGCAGACACGTGCGCTGCCGCAGAAACCGCAGACTCGGGGTCACCCTGCAGCTGTCCTAGGTCTGTATAAAGGGGATCTTAGGATGCCTGCGAGAGGAGCCTGGGGCGGGCCCGCACCCATTTTATCTTGTCCGATCCTCTCCTGCACCCTCCATCTCTCCAGCACTCTCCCCCATGGCACATCCGGTCCTCACCCTGGAACAGGGAGTCCAACAGGTCCTGACTGACTCCGCTGGGACTAGCGTGATAGACGAGGAAGCCTGTACCAAAGCAAACCAGTGAGGTCTGGCCCAACCCTAGACGAGGCTGGCTCAGCTCTGGGAGCCCTAGCAACGTGGGTAAGACCGCCTCACCTATGAGCACAGTGGCAGCCCGGCGCAAAGGGTCCTGTGGGCTCCGCAGGTAACCCTGGGTCTGACTCAGGAAGTGCTTGACATGGCTTGGATATCGCTGAACCTAGGAACACAAATGCTCATGACAGCGCAGAAGGATCAGTCCTTCCTGGGAAAGAGGCTGGAGCAGGCACATGAACAAAAGCTACGGAATGACAGGCCTCAGGAGCCCGGTGGTCATATTTAGTTCAGGTGGAGATTGTTTTGAGGGGGAGTGGCCTATAGAATCCTGAGGGAGCAGAAGCAGACTTCTCCCCATCATGGTGCTTCCTCTACTAACCAGGCGGTGGCAGACACGGCTTAGAGCCTCGGGGCTGTCATAGTGAGCCACAGTGACCATCTCCTCTAGCAGGCCCCATCGAAGGGCCTGGTCACAGCGAGCTAATGTCCACTCTGAGCTCTAGAATGGAGGAAACAAGCAGGGTTAGCGGTCCAGAAGATGGAAAGTGGAGGAAGAAACGGGACTGTGGCCAAAAAAGGGTGGCAAAGTCCAGGGTGAGGCGCTTAGTATAGCAGCCCAAGGGAAAAAAGACAAGGACCTCAAGGACTTTTAGGTCCAGGGCTTTTTTTCCTTAAAACCTTCAGAAAGGCCACAAGATTGGAGCAGAAGTCCTGGCTGAGACAGAACACTGACCTCAGCAGCATCCTGGCTGGAGTCATGTAGGCGCAACAACAGCGGTACCAGACTCTGCAGCACCAATTTCCTCAGGGGTCCCCGAAGCCCCAACCGGAGCCCTCTCTGACCCCGCCGCACCAGCGTTCCAAGGAGTCCCACTGCTGAAGCACGGATGGAGTCTCGAGCCTTCATGAGGAAATACAGTCAGAACTCAAGGCAGAAAGCGTGGGAGAGGAGGTTAGGGCAGGGTAAGGAGGGGCCGGGGACGGATCAGGGGGCTTCAGATTAAACTTCGATATGATGGCAGGACCACAGGCAACTGCGGGGGGGCACTCTAGGGGGAGCCTATGGTTGGGACTGCGCAACTATAGACAGTTCCAAGCGGGACACGATGGGACCACAGGGCAGGATTTTGCTCACGTCGTCCAGTAGCGGCGGGAGGCGTGGTCGCAGCTCAGAGCTGAGGAGCCTCACGGGTGCTCCCGGCTGCAGCAGCAGTCTCCGCAGCGCGCCCAGTGCAGCATCCACGAGCCGCGCGTCGCCTTCTCCCAGCGCTCTAAGGAGTACCGGCAGCAGCGTGTTCACGTGCCTTATCTGTAAAGACAGGACTCGTGGCAGGACCCTTCCAGACACAGCCTAGGACCCGCCTGGCCCGGCACTACCAGAATGGCACCTTCCCACGATTCATTGCAAGGTGGCCAAGACCAAGTAGGCCTAGCCAGCGCACGGTGGGCTCTGGGTCGCACTGCCAAGTTCGAAGCCGCTCCAGGATGACATCCTCCCGTAAGAGCCGTGCAGTGGGCCGGCTCTGCAACAGCTAGGCAAGAGGCATAGAGTCAGTGCACCTCTGCGTCTGGGCAGGCAGTCACCCCTCACTACACTCCAGGGAAGCAGGCTCACCCCAGTAAAGAAGGCCATAGCTGTGAGGCGATGCGGTTCGTTGGTGCTTCTTAGCCGAGGAAGCAAGTCTGCAAAAAGGCCTCGGAGATGGTGATCGGCATGCGCCACCATGGCACTGGAGAAGGGTAAAAGGGAGCTCTTCCTTCGCTTGGAAGGGCTCATCCCCACCACCTCATCTATGCCACCACTGCACCTTGCCAGCCGGGAGCCTTCTCCTGTTGTGTTGTCCTGGGGTGTCTCCTCACCTGGCCAGCAGCAGGACACCCTCCAGGTGCGTGTGGGCTCCTACCAGTCTCCTCCAGCCTCCTGCTTGCTCCATACACGTAACCACCATTCGGCCACCATCCCCAGTGAGCAGTGCCTTCAAGGCCTCCACTGTGCAGCTGGAGGTGGGAACAGTAGAGCGGTGGGCAGTGAGGGCAAGAAGGGCCTGTCCCATCCCCCACTCACCCAAGTGTACCTTCTCACCTGGCATGGCTGTGAGGTGGCCCTCGGTGAAAAGGCTCCCAAACTTTAGGGCTCTCAGGGGAATGAACACCTTGAGCCAGCTCGTGCAGCTGTGTGACCAATGCTAACAGCAGGTGGGGGTAGAAGCCTCGAGTGGCTCCCACGCAGCCAGAGACTGCCAACATCTCCCCAAGAGCGCGTGTGGCCTGCAGATCGAGTGAGCCCACCCTTGGAACTCTGCCAAATGTGGATGCATGCAGGACATCCCCCACAAGTGTGACTTGAGTCCCACCATCACAAAGCGACTCTTTGGTTGCTTGTGGCTGGGCCACGCCCCCCATGGCACCTCCTGGAGCCACTTACTGCCAGTGCCCCAGGCTCAGGACCCGCCGCGCCCTTCAGTGCCCACAGCAGTTGCACCAGCACCTGCCCATTTACGCGCTGGTTCCGGCTCAGGCTTCGCCACAGCTCAGCGGCTGCCCTGGGGGTGAAGGGCCTCCGAGTGAGGAGGAGTTGTGTGGAATTCTCAAGGAAGCCTACCACTAGGACTCTAGGAAAAACCTCCAGAAATAAACCATCTCCCTACTGGCCCACATCCCAGAAAAAAACGAATGCAGACTACAACAGAACCAGTCCCAGAGGCCAGTAGCCATCTGGACCACACTGAGCCCTGTTAGGTCAGGGACAGGGAAACAGACCTGCCGACTACTCCTATTATTTTAATTATTGTAGAGAATAAATCTAAGATAACTTCTGGGATAAATGACCCAAAGAATCAGAGATTTCCAGAAGCTCAAGCCATCTTGATTTCTTATCCCACCCACATCTGCAGGAAAAAGCAGGAAGGGGGGGCGGGGTGCGCGCGCGCGTTAAACTAAACCCGGGTATGGGTTAGGGCGGCAGCAACAATCAAGGGAGGGGATTCTGAGGCCCTTCTCCCTTACAGCCCAGTGCTTCAGGGGCCAGATTCTACGATCAAGCAATCAAGCGGGAAGGGGGAAGGAAGCCGCGTGGGGCCGCACAGCTGGGAGGGCGGGGCAGGTTACCGGTCTGGGGGTAGTGAACTGGGTAGCAGAGCACACACCACATCCTGCGCATGCTCCAGAGCCAGTGCGCTCAGCACCCGGAGGGCTGCCCGCCGGGGTCTCCCCTCTGCCAGGCTAGGTACTTGTGCCAGCAGCCCACGCACCAGCCTGTGGACCTGGGTAAAAGGGACCAAATGTCAGTAGTCAGGGTCCCTTTAACCCAAAAGGAAACTCTTGCCTGCACGGCACCACTTAGAGCAGCCTTTAGGGGGAGTGTGCTTGAGGTTGCCTTCTCCTCCTACCCAGAAGGGAGGCTTGTAGGATTCTCTAGGTTGGAGTGGGGGATGCTAACCTGGTCCTCCAGTCGTTGTCCCTGGGCTTCCAGCGCTGAGGACAGAGTGAGCGCAGTTGCCTGGGTCCCGGCATAACCAGCCTCCTCCAAACAGGCAGCTGTATACAAGGCAAGGTCTGCCAAGGCTCCTTCCTCCCAGGAATACTGGGTGGCCTAGGGAAGGGGGTATGGAACATGGAGTTTATGAAGTCCCCAAGCCTAGCTCAGCTTTCTTTCTTAGCCCTCCAGTCTCCTAATCCTTCAGATGGCTACACATCCTCTTCCTCTATGGTCTTCCCATCCTGCTTTTACCCTCAGTAGTTTCCCCAGCTCCAGTACCACTTGTCTTTCCAGTGCCTAAGCGAACGACAGCCAAACCTTGCATCACCCATGGTCGCTCCTCAGTACTCACCTGGTAGGGTCTCTCAGGGCCTGGCTCCTGGACATCCTGTGGGAAACAGTTCTCACTGCCCACCGTGGGGGGTTGCACTTCATTCCCAGGCTGGGCCTCAGAGGCAGGGGTGAGTGTTTGAATGTAGGTCTCAGCCTCAGGTACCACCTCCAGGGGCTCAGCCTGAGGGCCTGTAGAAGAGGGTCCCACAGGCTGCCCCTGGTTAGCCCGGATTCCTTCAGCTAGAGCTGTCAGAGTTAGGGACCCCACAGGGCCATCTCGGCCCCGGCCCCACACACCCCCAGCCATGGTGTTCCCACCAGCAGCACCTGCTACCACTCTTCCCGTGAAGTTGTGCCTAGATCTGACCTAGAATCAGGCCCCGGGCGGGCCTACAGGCGGGCCTACAGACAGGCGTGGTGGCGTGGGCATAGACGTGCATGCGTGTCTGAGCAAGTGCCAGTGGTTGGCTGGGGAAATCACAGAGGTATCCTAGCATGGGCTTGTGAGGGGTTTCTGCTCAGGCTGCAGGAGTTACGTGGAATGGCAAAAAAGACTGGCTCTGCCCACCAGTGCCCGTGTAGATGTGGACTGTAGAGAGGAGGAAGGTCTTTAGCCAACTCCCTGCCCCTCTTATCTGGGGGGAGGGCTCTGGAGCAGTTTGAGATCATTCTGAGGAGGCTCTAACAGGGCTAGGGGCCGGTCTAGGCCCCTGTATTGTCACACAGCCAGACATCCTGGGAATGGGTGTGGTTGGATACTGTCATCATCTCTGAACTTAAGGTACTTGGGGTGTGGAGCAAATGGGGCAAAGCCTCCTAAGGATGTTTGCAAGTGCCCACTGTTGTTGGTGTGGGCCACTCTGTATCCTTGCCAGTTCTGAGGTGGTACGTCTTACGCCCTGTATGTCCTCCACTCCTCGGCTGAGACTGTTTCCCCATGGCTGCTAAGGCGGTGTGTATGTATACTGTGTGCCTAGGTGTATCCCTTTCCAAGTTCATGCTCCCAGAGCTGACCCAACCTCTGTCCTAAATCCCCACTCTCCACCCAAGCACACTGTAGGCACTGCCCAGAACTAAGCCAGGGGAGCTGGATGAACTGGTCTGACAATCTGCTTGGAGAGGCGGAAATGCGTGTGGAAGTATTCCATGGAATGGGCATTCACCCGGGCATTCACCCTCTTCAGGACCATGTACCTCAGGCTACCCAAGCCCCATCTCTGCTTCCTGCCAAGCCACGAATCTCCAGTGGAGATATGAGTAGAAACGGCCCCCATAGGCTCACATATCTGCACGCTTAGTGACCAGGGAGTGGCACACTTGAAAGAATTAGGATTAGTGGGTGTGACCTTGTTAGAGGAAGTGCATCTTTGGGGGTGGCCTTTGACGTTTCAAAAGCCCGTGCCAAGCCTAGTGTCTCTTTCTATATACAACTCTCAGCTACTTCTCCAGCACTGTCTGCCTGTGTGTCACCACACTCCTCAGCGTGATGACAATGGATTGACCTCTGAAACTGTAAGCAAGCCCCCAGTGAAGTGCTTTCTTTTACAAGAGTTGCCAGTGTTCATGGTGTCTCTTCACAGAAACAGGACGGTGACTAAGACACCCCTCCCAGGCAGTTCCTCCAGCCTTGCTTCACTTGCTGTGCCCGAGTACGCCAGCTCTCAGAGAGTCAGCTCCTCAGCACCTCAGCTTTTTCCATCTTCTCCTCCTTCCTTGGTCAAAAGCTGACACCCCCTGGGGGGCTGGAGAGATGGCTCAGTGGCTAAGAGCACTGGCTGCTCTTCCAGAGGTCCTGAGTTCGATTCCCAGCAACCACATGGTGGCTGACAACCATCTGTAATGAGATCTGGCGCCCTTCTCTGGTGTACATCCGTACATGGAGGCAGAATGTTGTATACATAATAAATAAATAAATAGATAGATAAATAAATAAAAAGCTGACACCCCCAAAGCCAGGGCCTGATTGACATATCATAGGTGATCATGCAGGGCTGGTGTGGGAAGTTTGAGATGGGGGGGATATACGGATAGGGGACATTGCCCTTAGTAGATGTGGGAGCCTGAGGCTATGCGACTCTGACACCTCATCTCAACCTTCTAGTAGGTGAGGGCCTTCACAGAAACATCCTCAAAACAGAGTAGGGTCCTGCTGTCCACTCAGACCTGGTCTCCACAGTCCAGCCCCATGGCTGCCTTCCCACATGCTGGGCAGACCTGTCTAGAACCTTCGCCCAGCAGTTCCTGAGCCACCTCAACACAATTCCAGCCCAGCTCTGGAAGGCTCTAGAAGTCAAGAGAGTAGCAGATATTCGTGAACTAATGACACACGACAAGTTGTGGGGACAGCGAGTCATGTTATTTCTGGCCGTTCGCCACCCCTGTGGTCTTTACAAGGGACCTCCAGCACCGAGACTGTCCACTAGAGCCTGAAGCTTCTCAGACAGTGCAACCTGCAGAGAGAAATAGAGGGATCTGAGCCGCTGGGGCTGGGGGTGGGGCAGGGAGCACACGGGACACAGGGAGGCCACCTATAGGCCTACCGGATACACTCGGGGGCTCTGCAGCTGCTTATGAGCTGGGTTGAGGCGGCTCAGGGACTGCTGGGCGAAGGTTCTGGACTCGTCCAGAGATGGAAGCGGCTCACACAGCTGCAGGGGAGGGGAAAGGGAAGGTTAGAGATGCTGGCTCGGGATCAGAGCTCAGCTGAAGTGAAGGCGCAGATGAGGGGCGGTCACCTGTCCCTGCTGCAGGCAGAGTCGCAGCAATGGTTCCACCTGGGCTGGCTTCACAGTGCAGGGCTCCTGAGCCCCTCGGGGCCAAACCCTGAGTTCCTGCCCAGCCTTGGGTGGGGGCTCTTCTGCCAACTGCAGTAGGTCCATTAGGAAAAGCCCTGAGCAAAAGCAAGAATAATGTCAAATAGGAGCTGGAGACTTGAAAGGGGGCAAAAGGGAAGCAGAGGAAGTCACCGTCAGAGCCTAGGAGCCGGAAGGCAGCCTTGCTCCCTGGCAGTGTTTGCTTCTCGCGGTCCTCTGTCAGCTTCATTCGAGGTTGGCCTCCCACAGACACCAGCTGCAATGGCAGGGTGTTCAGATAGCTGGACCCCTGTCCCCTGCCATCCATGTTCTTCCAGACTTGCCCTACCTGGGGCCAAACACTCTCTTTACCTTGTAGACACAGCCCATAGAAGGCTGTTTGGGACAGGTGACCACACTGGTGCCAATGCCAATGATGTTCACCTCACTGCCCTGTGGGGAGAGGAGGTGACAGTGGGCCCAGCTGCCACCTGCAGAGTGCCGGAGCCCTCTAGACTACCCTCCACCTGTCCCTCTTCCACCCTACCTTTTGGGCCAGCCGTGCTAGCTCCTTCTCATCAATGTTGTTGCTGACTGCAATGGGAACGGATTCCAGCCAGGGCACCTGGAACCTGTACGTGATGGGTTCACAGGCAGCACCCACTTAAGTGCTCCTGATTCACCCTGGCCTCTTTCCTTGACCCCTCCCTCCCCATCAGCCATGCCTATATTCACCCTTTTCTTAGGAACCCCTGGTGGTCCTACCCTACTCCTCCCTCCCAGAGCTTTTTCCAGTTGCCCCCGAAATAGGACCATGGTCTTGGTATAGGAGAGACAATCCCTCTTGTCCAAATCCCGTCTCCTTGGGACTCCCACAAGGAGTTTCTAGGAGGCACACGGCACCCCTCATGGGGAACTCACTCGGCACCAACAGTTCGAAAGATCCCACGGATCTCCTGAGCCTGCTGAAGCAGATCACCGCTGTCCAGCCTCACGCCTACTGCCCTGTAACCCAGCTCCCCCAATGCCAGGGCTACTGCCAGGAAGTTGGGAAGACCACTCCTGCATGTAAAAAAAAACAGGATCAGGAGCTCAGTCGCTCTACCGAGGTCACCCTGAGAGAATGCTCATACCTCACCTGCGCACACTGTAGGAATCTAGCAGGCCCTGGAAAGCCCGGGGAAAAGCCAGAGCATAGGCCACAAATGCTGCCCGTTCCCCTGGATGCGGCTCCTGCACCTCCAGTCCCAGGTAGGTGCACACACGCTTCAGCCACAAATTTACACTGGCGGCCAGGTCCACTGTGGGGCCCTCACTAGAAGCTGGAGCCAACATCTGCAGAAAGAGATTAGATAAAAGATGGTACTAGAGTACAGTGTAAAACCTGGGAGTGGCTAGTATATCGTGGCCTGAGGACAAAGGTGATGCCATGTAATGCCAGCTTTCTAGTACAGCCTTACGCCAATCCACCAGCGTATACAGCAGGGGCCAGCCCACCCTAGCCGGGGTAAGAATTGGTTTGGAGATCTTGTCCTCTAGAGTAGAGCTGACTTGAGAAAGGTACTGACTGATTGGGCCCAGCATGGATATACACTGTACACACTGAGACAGAGGTAGGAGGATCAAGATTTCAAGACCAATCTGGGCTGCACGGAACCCTGACACAACATAAAACAGAACTAACCGGGTCAGGGGGCACCTCACTACCCGAAAATGAAGTGACAAAGGAATGGGCCAGGGTCCCTGCCACAGGCACACCTCTCAGTTGTCCAGCAAGTGTGTTGCTGCTGCTGTTGAATCCTGGGTAAAAAGGCAGGCGGGCTTAGGGGACTCCAGGAATGTTGGTACCTTCCCTTCCCCAACCTACGCCTTTTCCCGGCCTCACCGCCCAGGTAGCTGTAAATGGAGGCCGTGAAACCCCCATCTGGACCCTGAGCTCGCCGCAAGCCCATCTCCAGCAGTCTCTTATCAGGCCCTGCGATTAGGCGAAGTCGAGCAGCATTGGTGGCTACGAGGCTGTGGAGAGTGACAGGCCAGGAGAGCCCAGGTGAGAGTTGCAGAGTCACCCCAGTGTACCGACTCGGGCCCCGCCAAGCTTCCGACTGTCTGCATCTCTCAGGAACTCCGCTCACCTAGCGTAACTGACCAGACACAGCAGGGGAGTCTCCAGCAGCTGTACCAGAAGGAGGGGCCCGGACACCTGCAGCAGTGGCACCTGCGGGACGAGTGATTAGTTCCAGAGCGGGACCTCCTGGATCACCTCCCACCTTTTATCGACCCACCCAGATCGCAGGACACTCACACCAGGGAAGGCGAGAGAACCCTCTGGCAGGGCTCGCACCGTCACCCCAGAGCAGTCAAGATTCCGAAGATGCTCAAAGAACGCAGGGTCAGTGTCTGGGGGTAGCACTGAAGCCAGGAATTGCACGTCTGGGGGGAAGAGAGAATACACGTGATCTGGGGGAGGACTTGGCCAGGCAAGTGCAGGTCCCCTCAGAGAGAGGTCAGGGGCACGGGAGCGGGATTCTCTCCCAGCCGGAGGAGTACCAGTGCGGGTTGCGGAGCTACCTGCGTCCCGCAGACAGAAGGCACGCAGGAAACACAGGCAGTCCCGCAGACCGGCGGCCAGGGCAAAGGAGCCTCCAAACGGACAGTGGCGGAAGAAGAGCTCGAACTCTGCTGCCTCGCATGCCCGGCCTGCACGCCAATAGCCCAGCGCCATGGTGGCCTGGTAGAGGTCGGTGAGCAGTGGCCGCACCACATCGCGCCCCTCGCCGTCCTTCTCCATCGCAATTCAGTACCGTAAACGCAGCTTGACAAGCCAGGCTAATGGCGCCCTACTCCGCCCCCCAGGGCACTCATCCAGGGAACTAACCGACCCAGAGGCGGGCCTTTCCCGGCAGCAGTGGGCGGGGCAAGCCACCTAAACACTGCTAGTTGCAGGGACCCAAACCAGCAAGGTAGGCGACCAGCCTACCTCTACCCCAGCCTCCTTGACCCTGCTGTTTGCCCTTGAGAATGGTTCCTACTGGACAGTGGACTTAACTAGCCGGGGCAAAGGCAAAACAGCAACGCCAAACTTAACAGGGTTGGAGTGCTTGATAAGATTGTAGCCAAACTTAACAGGGTTGGAGTGCTTGATAAGATTGTACTTTAGCCTAGCCTTTTGCCCCAGAGCAGGGCTGGGCAAATAGGCTTACCTACAGAACTGTGAGCATCTCCATCATCGAGGGGACAGAGCTACCTTTCAGGTGTGTCGGGAACCCAAGCACCAGTCAGGGGCATGTTTGCTCCACCCAGCTACCAGGCTCATAGTGAGTCAAAGTCCTAAGATAGTTTATGTTCAGAGTGGTAGCGAATGTCTTTAATCCCAGCCCTGGGGAAGCTGACACGGGCAATCTAACAATTCCCAGGTCAGCCAAGCTATATATTCTCAAAAAGAAAGAAAGGAAAAAAGTGTGGGTGCTTCTGTACTACAGGCAGACTTAAAGCTCAGAGGCCAGAAGAGGGCACCAGATTGCCTGGAGCTGAAGTTCATTGCACCTGGTTGTGAGCTGGGAATTGAAACCCCATCCTTCCTCAGGTTACAGCTTTTGTTGGACCCTGCATCCCAGGCTCCACAGGAAAGCTTTTGAGGGGGAGGGACCACATTGCTTCCTCGTGGCTAAGGATCATGAACAGCACTGGCAGGGACCAGCCACACTTGGCACCTCTCACCAGATGTCCACACTGTTTCATCCAAAACCCAAGCACTGACCACAGTGGAATGAGCAGGGAAAATTCCACACAGTACATCTGGCTGTCCATATTCTAACCGTCCCAGAACATGAAAGATATGGCCCCCTTATTGGGAGCTGCAGAATCCTGGCCCCTTGACTTTCTTTGCCTGCTGGAGTGAAGCAACTTGTTTCCTGTGTCTGCAGCTGCTCTGAGCATGAGACCCTCATGAGTTCCTATGGCAGGGGAGTGAATTCTGGTGGGTTTTATAGCTGGAAATCCTAAGAGCTGGGGTGTGGCTATCAGTTAAGGATCCCTATATAAGCTTCCCTGGAGCACAATAAAGTTGGAATTCTTGTTTCAAGGATGACCCTTGTCCCCGTGTCTCTGTGTTTAAATCTCCAGCCTAGTTCCCCGCTTGCATACCGTCCCATAGTGCAGGCGCTACAGCCCCCCTCCAGTTAACTGCACTGCCCCTCCAGAGGTAAGGAGGGAGGAGTGATGTTAGATCAGGCCTAGGTAGACTCCACACGGTCACAACAGCAGGGACAAGAGGCACAGGGTGGACAAATGTGGGCCCAATGGATTTTGTTTCTGGCTCAAATAGCTTGAAGAGGCAAAAGGTGGGCTGGGCTGGGCAAGAATGGCTAGAGCCTGGCACATTTGGCACACTGATATTGCACATCAA